ATTACAGGAAAAACAAAAAGTTGCACAAAAAAGAAAATACAATAGTACAGTAAAGTGCTCAGTTGCAAACATTGTTTATATGGTCACAGTAATTTAAAAAAACTGCTGATAAATCAGAAATTGTGATGTAAGTACAGTAGGAGGATAGGAGGAATGTGAGGGCAGAGTGTAGAAGAGCTAAATCCCTCATCTCCGTATTAGGACATCAAGAGAAAATGTCTGAAATTGAAAAAAAAATCAGGAAATAATAATAGGAGCATGTTACGTAGAAATGTGGAGGAAAAATATCTGAAGAAACAGCTAAGGTGTTGAAAGTGTTCCCTTTTAGTGAATGAAACACCAGATCAGGGATGGGTGGGATACAGGACTACAGTTTTTCATTTATAAGCCTCTTGGAACTATTTGTTATATACATGTATCACTTTAATAAAAACTAATTTTAATTTAAAAAGAATGTTAGTTTTATGACTGACTCTTGAGAATTATAACCTTTTAGCATGTCTATTACTTATTGTAAGGAGCCCTGGTGGGTCAGTGGTTAAAGCAATTGACTGTTAACTGAAAGGTCGGTGGTTCAAAACCACCAGTAGCTCCACGAGAGAAAGATGTGGCAGTCTCCTTCCGTAGAGATTTACAGCCTTGTAGACCCTATGGGGTGACTATGAATCAGAATCAACTTGATGGCTGTAGGTTTGGTTTTTTTGGTTATTACTTACTATAAGGAGCCCTCGTGGCACAGTGGTTAAAGCACTCAGCTGCTAACTGAAAAGTCAGCAGTTTGAACCCACCAGCCGCTCAGTGGGAGAAAGATGTGGCAGCTGTGGAAACCCCATGAAGCAGTTCTGCTCTGTCCTATGGGGTGGCTATGAGTTGGAATCGACTTGACAGAAATGGGTTTAGTTTTTGGTTTTATTACTTGCTATAATATTCTTTTCCACAGATATTGGGCAGTCGCATTACCTGTCTACCTCCTTATTACTATAGTAATCAGTTACGTCCTCTTATTTGGAGTTAACATGATGAGCACCTCTCCGCTGGACTCCATTCACACAATCACGGGTAAGTGTATCTGAAAGGAAAGTGCTGCGGGATCGGGGAGTGGGGCATTAGCGCTTTTATCAAGAAACACAACCAAGAATAATAGACCGTAATAGGTAACACTCATTGGCACAGTAAAAATAATCCAGGAAAAATACAGAGTTATGTAACTCATTGCCGTTGAGTTGATTCTGACTCGTAGCGACCCTATAGGACAGAGTAGAACTGCTCCATAGGGTTTCCGAGGAGCACCTGGTGGATTCAAACTGCCGACCTTTTGGTTAGCAGCCATAGCTCTTACCCACTACGCCACCAGGGCTTCCGACAAAGTTATATAGGAGGAAATAGTTACATGGAAGAAATAAGTTCTGATGAATATGCTGTTCATAGCGCTAATTGACAGGTATATTTTCCCATAAAAACCACAAGGGTATGTTCTTCAGCAGCTTGCCTGAACGAAACTCCTTTTATCCTACACAGGCACTGTTGATCCAAACCCACCCCAACCCACTGCTGTTGAGTCAGCTCCAACTCAGTGACCCTGTAGGACAGAGTAGAGCTTGCCACATAGAGTTTCCAAGGCTATAAATCTTTACAGAAGCAGGGTGCCACATCTTTCTCCCGTGGAACAGCTGGTGGGTTTGAATTGCCGACCTTTCTGTTAGCAGCTGAGCGCTTTAACCACTGCACTAGCGGGGCTCTCACTGTTGATCAAGGGGTGACAAATGACATGCAGAGCTGGTTTCGGGGGAGGGATTTGGGATAAGAAGGAGCGTATCCTCCAGAATCACTGTGTACACCTTATCCCGGTTAAGTGGATGGAAGGGCCATGGCAGGTTTTTGTAGTTTTATTTCTTTCAAAGATCTTTTATTTCAGGTCTAAAGATTAAAGTGAGGATGGTGCAGGACTGGTTGGTGTTTCGTTCTGTTGTACATAGGGTCACTATCAATCGGAACTGACTTGACGGCACCTAACAACAATAACAACAAAGATTAAAATAAGTTAGATTCCTAAGCTTGCTTTGATTCTAGGAAG